CCGTCTTTCGCGGCGTCTTTCACAGATCTTTCGCGGAAAACCTACAACGATTTCCCCAAAACTGCCACACTCTGACGCTGAGGCTGGTTGTACAACACTCGCTGCTGTAGGCAAGACCTGCTGACAAGTTTGGCTTGGCCTGTTCCTGGCCGCAGAACCGCTGAGGCAGCAAGTGCCCACACAAGTCCATGGTTTCCAAGCCTCAAACTCTGGCTTTGGGTGTTCTGAGACACTGGGCAGTAAAGGGTACACCCACAGCATGAAAGCAGATTCTTTATGGGTCTCATGTATCCCAAGTCTGTTACGTGAAAACTTTCGCGGAACATTGCTTTCCTTTCGCTGACCCACCGCAGATCTTTCGCGGACACATTGTTTTGCATCAAATACAGTTTTGTAAAAAATACCACCAGACAAAGACCTTTGGATCAAAGCTCAACTGTTGCAAGCGCCAGTGGAGTGCAAGTGTGCAGGCTCCTGCTCAAACAAGCGGTTGGGCTGCACCACGGTGATCCTTTGCATACCGACGTGATGGGATGGGTTTTGATGTGCGACGAGATGTTTCGAGACTTCATAAATCTGCAAAGCCTGTCACAAAAATCTCCAATCGAGGGTCAACGTGTCTGCACGATGTGGTGCAGAAATTATGAGAGTCACGTACGAGCAGCTGATTTGCACCGGGCCAGAGCCGTCAAATATGTCCCGCTGTCTTGATGACGCAGGGTCGACTTGCAACCAGTCCAGTGTAACAAAGATGTTGTTGCCATGCTCGCCGACTTTCGTTGGGCCTTCATCGAGGAGAAGCTTCATCTGCAACTGATGCAGATCAGATCCGTCCTCACCAGCAAACTCTCTGCAGGCCAGGCACCTTGCTCAATAATATCCTCCACGCCAAGTGGAGAAAGCCGGTACTTTACCATCAGGGTCATCAGCAATATAAGGTGACAACCCCGCATGTGAATCCAACGGTGAATAGCGTCAGGGGAGGGATGCTGAGCTCGATGGCCGAAGAAGAATCTGAGCAACTTCTCACCGAACAGATCCTTCGAGTTGGAGCAGGCATGTATGTGATAAGCCCATGAGAGCCCTCCCGCACTCCTGCACTGCAGCTCTGTGCATGTTGTAGTCCACGACAGTGAATCGACCAGAGGAAACACTCCAACTGACGCTGCCTGAGACAAAGAACATGTTGCATACTAACAACCGACATGCTGTGGGGAGATGCCTTCTCCGCGCCCCAAAAGTTGTGCCAGCTTCAATCTAGAAAGAATCACGTCCAGTTCCATGGGCTGCAAGCCTCCGGTGTCCAGTTCAAGGGGCATAAATTGAAAATCGGCATAAACTTACTCCACACTATGCTGGCAGGGCAAACAAAGACTCTGGACATTGACATGTCTGTGCGTGCCATGTCGGCTCTTCAGCCGTTCAGGCCTCGGTTGCTTCTTTGGCCCATGATGAGGCGAAATGGTGCGGCCACACGCGCGACATCTTGGCAGTTTATGCCGACCTTGCTCAAACCTCCAAGCGTCTCCGTCTTACGTCTTGGAAAAAGGAGTCAGTGAACAGTGCAGGTGTAGAGAGGCCTTCGAGAAGCTCTTCAGGAGTGCGAATCTCGTTCCCGCTGGAGACACGCAAGAAAATCCTGAGCCGCGTAGACTGCGCTGACTGCACTTCGGTCTCCGTTTGGCATCGTTTGCCAAGAAGCTCCTGGATCCGCTCTGCTGTCAGGTCGAAGTGCTCGTCCAACATGTTCTCTCCTTTGTTCAAGCTTACCGATGCGGCATGCTTTGGAAAGAACTTTGCGACACATACCATTGCAGAATTGAGGTTGCAGAGAAGTTCAGCCAAGTGGCTGATGCTTCGAGCATGCATGCAGAAGTCCTTCGCGTCATACTCAGGCATAGCAGACTTTGCTGCATCGCCTTCCACATGCCGGAATTTGTGAGGATCATCTTTGAAAGACTCCTTCATTTGGCGGATGTTAACCTTAGTAGGAAATGAACATTCAGTTTCAGCGCAGCTGACGCCAAGCCATGCTGCCACGTTTTTTGAAGCCATGTTGCCGGAAAAGAGGTTGCATCAGCAAGGGCGAACCACATCTCCAAATCGCAGAGTGCCTCTGGCTACACTCGGGCTAAAGCGATGCAGTGTAGAGATTTTTGGAAGCCAGTTCGACGCCTGCTCTGCAGCTTGGAGCGGACGCCCTGGACAGGTCAAAACGCGCGACACCGTGGAGAATCAGAAGCAGCGGCGAATTTACGGCGGGTTTGGCAGCTGACAGGCACAAGGCACCCTCAAGCTCCTTCATATTCGAGCTGTCTTTGATGGTTTGGATTCATTTGAGTTTTGAAACCCCGAAAGGCCAACCTGGGCCAGACCAACTAGGTAGGAGGCCGTTGTTTGCATGCTGCCCCTACGAGTAGCCTCTGCTTTCTGCACGGCCATCGGAACGGCCGTGTCTGACAACGATTTAGAACTGCTGCCTCTTCATGTCTTCTCGATGAAATCTCGGCAGATGCCGCTCCTGTACAAACTCGGCATGGACTACGCCAAGTCCCACTGTCTCTTATGAGATCTACTGAAAAGTCGCCCTTTTGCATGGTGCGTAAGCATGCAGATGACTGACTCCCAGTGTTAGAAAACCCTCTGGGGGATTATCCGAAGAGTAGACAAAGGAAGATTGCAAAGCATTCAGGTCAGACCTTCAGCACTGTGCGAATCGTCCGCACTCTGCAGACTCTCCAGGAAGTCAATCCTGCCGTATCTTCCAAACTTTGGAATCGCAAGACGACGTGACTGCTCGACTGTTTACATGATGTCACAGTTGAGAATCAGCCGAGAATCGGCGACGGGCTGCAGGCCCAACGGAGAACGCGTCTCCGTTCAACCATGTTGAGACCAAGCTCTTTCAGATCTTCCTGGCTGGAAAACTAGATCAATCGCTTGAGACTAATTCAGGAGCCTGTGCACAGACACTTTGACCGAGATTGACAGCTCGACGTGCCCTCCCCACTGAGGTTGCCTTGTCAAGCTCCAGAAGGTCAGCTGCAGTTTGCACCTGCTCCTCGCTTAGTCGAAGCCGTACTTCCTGCGATTGCATGGCCTTTCGCAGCTTTCGTGCAATGGCGAGCACAAGCTTTTGTGCACCGGCCTTGGGCGCCAGAAGAAGCAAGACACTCTCAGCGGAGTCCGTGGCATGGTTGGACAACGCCGGTCCCCGCCACAGCACCGAGGTTGACCGACGAAGCGGAACCCGCTTTCCGCTCATGGCACGCGGCCGCGGAGGCCGTGGAGCATGCAGCCGGCGACTAGCAGGCTAGATTAAGGTCCTGCATTGTCAGATACCTTAAACTTGTCAAGCTCAGGCACTCAAATCCGCGGACATTGTGCAAGCTTTGCAGGAAACCACAGGCAGCTACAACGTGAAAGTGATTCCGACAATCTCTACTCTAAGCATGGTTGAAGCACTGAATCACAATGAGGATACCTGGGGTTGCTGGTGCCGGTTGTTGCAGCCCATGCAAGCACGTCAGACATATTCTGATAAGTAATGCTGAGGGTCTCAGGAAAATCCGACTGAAGCCTACCCGATCGGTCTGGCTCCATACTGGCGACACTCTGGGCTGCATCGTAACTCAACCAAACAGAATGCAGAAGGCTGGAACTTGGCATCTGCAATCCCAGATTCTGGTCAACATCTGCTAGCATGTAGGTTGGAAGGTCTGAAGTGACGTGCTAACGGGCCAGCCACACTCTCGGCAGCGGGCGACAGCGACTTGAAGCTGAGGAATTGTTTCCTGGCAATGTTCTGGAGCTTTTGATCAAAGCCATCGTCAGAGAAAACTGAGTGTCTTCAGAATGGTCAAGCAAGCAAGAAGTGGTGTCCTCTTCATCTCTCCAGCGCGGACTTCATCGCTGTCCTCGCCGCGGCACAGACGATGGACGAAGGCAGCCGACCTGGCACTGGCAACGTGTCTTCTTGGGGCCCAGAGAAAACCACATGCCAGAGGGACTGTTCGCCGACCACGCGCTGTAGCTCTGACAAAGACACCTGGCTTTCCCTTGCCCACTCAAGTTCCCCGCATGTCGACAAGAGAAGCAGCTCCAATCTAGGCTGTCTATCACGCAGATATCTCGCTATGTGGCACTCTGACAAGAAGCAAGGCCTTCTGAAGCTCAGCAGTAGGGGCCTGATCCACAGAATCTGCTTTGCACCCCCCATTTTCCCAGCTTTCTGGAGCCTCGGGCTCCAGTTGCAGCGCGCCCAAGAGCTTCTGCCCGAGCTTGCCGCCAAGGCCGCGCCTCGGGCTCTCTCGCCGAGGCTCCTCTCTGCTCTCCTTTCCTCGGGGGGGCGCCTGTGATCTTTCTGTGAATCCACGGGCCAAAACGATGCATGCGTCAATCATCTTTACAAATTCCGCATCTGTACAGCTCGCTTTGGAGACTATGTTCTGACGGGGTTTCATAATTTGAACAACCCCACCTTCACGAGTGGAGTCATTGGAACTCTTGTCCTGACCTGTACAAGGTTAAATGCTCGATCGCGCATGATCGTGCTCGGTGCGCTGTACACTTTACACTTTCTGACTTCTTCTGGGCGTCGCAACGCAACAAGGACTTCGGCAATGACGCTGTTCGTCCTTCTGCGGCTGAGAGCTAGCCATGGCTTCAGAGTTGGGCAAGAAACTTGCTGGCAAGTTAAACTCTGCCCAACTGTCGCGCCTGGCATTGTGACGTGTCGGCGTCGGCGTCCGCTACACCATCTCTGTGAGTTGCCTGTCTTGGCTGTGGGATCCATCCGTTCCGTCAACACTTTCACCCGCCAGACAAGGAATCGCGCCTTGCTTTCTCCTTCTTCGCCAGAAGGGTGCCTATGTAGTGGCCCATGGCCTGATCGGATGTGAAGGCTTGGAGTTTTTGTGCACAGCGAGAGGCACACAGCTGCACAGCATGAGAGCCAGGCCATGATTGTACCCTGGGGGTTGACACCTGAGTTTGTACTGATGATGTATGGCCCAGAGAAACAGGACTACAGACGCTCTTCGTGCTCAGTGCGTCCTGGCGACGTGTTGGATTCGGAAAGACTGATGCATCCACAACCTGCAGTGCCGGAAGCGAACTGAAGTGGCATCCGTCCGTCCCAGGTCATTTTCCAGGGACAAAGCCCATGATGCAGTCAAGAAACGTGCAAGTTGCTTGTGCCCTTGACGGTGAACTCTGGGCCATCGATCACTTTTCCATGCGAAGCAGTGCTGAAATAGTGGTATGACGACACCGTCGTCTTGCGAAAGTATTCCTTACTCTGGCACAATTGTACATGCACCTCGCTGGATTTCGGGACTCAGCACGAACAACATTATATCCAGACTTTCGGCATCTTGCCACAGTGGTCCAAGACTCAATATACTGCTCCCTCGAAGCTGGTGCATCAGGAAGACATGGTACAATGATGGCCTTCGCGTCTGTCTGCGGGCCGTTCTGTATGCAGCTGAGATAGACCTCTGAAGCTTGCCAAATCAACGCGGGGTTCGGGAATGGTAATTCCGCAAAATTGTCGCTACTACTGCGTAGCATCAAAGGAACCGGAACCACGGCATTCACTCCGCTGAAGCTCTTTGCGCCGACGAGGTCTGCCATAGCTTGGCTTTCGATAAGCTCCTGAAGCGCCGCCATGGCCGTGAATTTCTGCTCCAGGTCACGCGGGTCCTGATATGCTTCGCCCTACATATCGTCTACAGATATCTACAGCAAGCTGAACGCAGGCAATGAAACAGCTCACTGGCAGTGGTCTGATACTTCCAGCCTTCAGGTGGTTCGCCGTGACTGACGGAGGCTTCCGAGCGTCTGTAGACACCGCAGTGACGCTGCCACGCGAGAACGTCTGGTGATTCAGCGCTACAAACTGGATCCTGGGCGTAGTCAGGCACATAGGATCAGAAACCCCACCCGCGTATGTGAGTCCGAAGAGCATGGTGCCGCGCCAATCACAGCAGCACGACTACCAAGTACTCTGCTTACGGCGCCAATCACATAAAACGAAGTCTGCCGAGCCACATGTTGTCCATGACATGCGCAATGGGTCCCTCAAACAAAGGAGTCATCGTCTTGCGCAACAGCTCAGTACGCTGGTCGGGGGGTACCAGAGCCAGAGAAGCAATCGCAAAGGAGCTCGCCACTTTTCCCCAAGCTGACAGGGATGCAAAGTTCTCTGCCATGACGCACGATTAATACATTACTTTTCAATGTGCCTATCGCCTTTCGTCGCTCCCATGCGGCCTTCGGTCTCGAAAGTGATCTGCGAGCTGGAGTTTGAGGCCATTGCGTATCCGACATTGAGCGGGCCTCTTTCCGACGACCACACACCTGGAAAGCCAAGGGAAGCATGTTAGACTGTCCGGCGAGTAGGCGGAAGACTGCTTCAGCTGGGGCGCCGAAGTTCAAAATGTTTCGATCCACGAAATTCTGGCCAACGTCTGGGTTCGATACAACCTCTGGGACACCCAAGTCACGGAGCAATGCTGGGTCACCGATGCCTGACACTTGAAGAAGTTGCGGCGTGAAAATGGCACCAGCAGCCAGAATCACGCCCTTTCTCGCGGCAAGGGTGACCGTTTCCTTGAAGTTGTTCTGCACCTGCACACTCGTGGCTCGGCCGTTCTCAAAGTTGATCTTCATGACCTGGTAGTTGGTGTAAAATCTGAGATTCGTCATGTCGGAACGCCTTGGATCTTGCGTGCCACCAGGCCCAGACATACCGGGAGCTGAACCCGAAGGCAGCATTGCAGTCAAGTTGCATGTGAAGCAGGTCACCGGCACCGCGGCGAGACCAGGTTCGCTCCGTTGTGTTGAACGTGGAGTAGGCGACCTGAGGCCCCCATAATGTCTATACTCACAAGATTACCTCAAGTCACAGGTGCTCTAGAGGGTTGGCGGGGATCTGCTCCGAGTTGCCCAGGAGCTGTTGGAGGACATGCGCAGGCTGGGCTTCGGATCCAGTGAGCCAGCTTTGGCTTCATGGAGGGCCCGAACAAAGCGGTGGCCGTAGCTGGAGGGCTGCAGCGGCTCCGCGAGCTGCTCAGCCACCCAGCGAGAGCTCTCGTAGAATTGACTGGTGTTGAAGTCCTCCGGGAGAATGAGAAAAAAAAAGACAAAACCCTGAGAAGAAATGAAGCCATCTGAAACTTGCGAAAAAGAGAGCCTGGCCAAAGTTCTTCTCGAAGTACTCCGGCTCCTCCTCTATGTAGAGTCCACCGTTGATTTCTGTGCCACCACCCAGCACATTTGCCACAGCACCCCAGGTGCCATCGTTCCACCTGATGTTCTGGGCAGCTTTGGTGTTGACAACCTCCGGCCATGTGTTGGCAAATTCAGTTTTGGGCACGTCCAGATCGGAATAACCACGTTCCAGGACAAGGACGTCCTCTCCAGCATCTGCCAAGGCGGCTGCTGCCGTGCAACCCGAAGCACCTCCCCCAACTATGATCCAGTCGGCACCTTCTGGGGCAGGTGCAGGCTTTGCACAGTGGCCCTCACAAAGCACGTGCAGAAATCCACAACCCCTGTCGCCCACCAAGGTTCCGCCTTGGGAGCAGTGGCTGTACAGTCTTGCCGGACAGGCTTTGCACTGGCCATCCCAGTACAGCTCTGGCTGAGGTGTGGGAGTTGACGGTGGAAGGCGGCATTTTGCTTCGCAGTGTGCATGGGCTGGCCCGCATCCTCTCTCCTGCACAATCGTCCCTCCCAGCGCGCAATGGCTGTCTGCATACAAACTTGCCGGACATGCCGTGCACTGGCCATCCCAGTAGAGTGTTGGCTCCGGAGCTCCGGATAGGAGAGGTTCTGTGCATTTCCCTTCACAGTACATGCCCCCAAATCCGCAGGACCGCTCACCAACCAGAACACCCCCTCGAGAACAGTGCGAATACAGCTTGGCAGGGCAGGCCGTGCACTGCCCATCCCAGTACACGTCACTCGGGGGCCAAATTGAACCAGAGTCAGAATCAGCCTCGGCATGGACAACAGAGCAGATGCATGCCATAACAGACCCTGTCGGGAATGATTAATACTTTGTTCCTACTTGAGACGATCTTGACATTTTCTCGATTGTGCCGCTCATGGGACTGCTTCACTAAGGGAGCATGTTCAGTCCCCCATCCCAGCAGCTAGGAAATGGGCGCGGGCTTCATGACTCAAACAACACTGAAAAAACATAAGCCTCTAAGCTCGCGTCTGATCCCACTACCACCGTTGCGTATGATTTCGTGCCCTTGCAAATCCCGAACTTCAACACCGCTGCTCTGCTCTGATGCTCGAACTAGTTTGAGCTCGGAATGCATGATCTTGTTCCTTGACAGAGAGTGGTCGATGCTTTGTGCTCCCAGGCATACAAGTGGCACTCACTGAGGCCGCCAAGCATAGGAACAGGCGGATATTTCTAGAACTTGTCATCTCGGCTAATTAAAAGCTACAAGCTAGTCGCCAGCTTGTTGCAGTGAACTCAAAACTTGAGCCGCAAGCTTCGAACGAGCATGGCCACCTGCCTTGGTTTTGTACCTGATGCCCGAACATAGCATCCAAAGCAGGCACAAGTAACGAGCAATGCGCAAGATCCTTGTGCGGCAGCTCCCTGTTTTCTCGCCCCCTGCTTCCCCAGTTATCCGGTACCCCATGTTTCCCCAGTGATCTCTCGGAGTATCATCGCCGCTCAGGCACCGCCCTCCGAGACGCGCTTCCGCTTTGCAATGGGCTCGTTTGGCTCATCTGGCTCCTTGGCATTGGCCTGCCGAGATCTACCAAGCAGAGCAACCAGAGAAAAGCGCAACGCATGAGCCAAGCCCTGTGACAGCGAAGGCTTGCTGCACCTCCAGGGCTTCTTGCTCTGCTTCCTTCTCGAGCCTTTCCCACTCGGCGCTGTCGAGCTCTTCCTGAATGCGCTCTGCCAACTGAACATGTTCTGAGTCTGTCTTGCGGGCAGCATCTCCTCCTGGGTGGTCTCGAGGATCCAGGGAGGTATCGCGTGCTCTGGCGATTGAAAACCACGGCAGTCAGGATCGAAGCACTTCCTCAGTGCACGGTGCATCAGACAGTCGGGTGATATGTTCGATCTCTACCCATGTTTAGTTGAGGTGCTGGTAGAAGGAACGTCGTTCCATATCGACAACCATGTACACATGGTTTGAAACGTGGGATGAGCCCTTGCACCGGCAGAAACGATTGTTTGACAGAGTAACTGTCAAGAACCGCCGGTCCATCTCGACACAGGATTGCACAAGTGTTGGAGGAAACGGCCCGTGCTCCTCTTCTGCTCGAACGCCGTCCCAAGTTCGCACCAAGAAGTTCAGGAGAGGATCCTGCTGAATCACTTGAACTTTCCCCTCGGAATCGCGCACGACTGCGGGGCCTGCACGCCGAACTCGCAAGGATTTTGCATCCATGTGCCCGAAGCCCTCTGGTATGAGAGTGTGTCGGAAGAGTTCGGTTTTCGGTGGCACAAAGGTCACCATGGTCTCCAGCAGTGCGCGGCTCGGGTGTGGACGCCAGTAGTCGAAAAAGCGTTTGCCCGAGGCTTCGTCCAGCTCCAGGCGTCGCTTTTTCGCAAACTTCGACTGGAAAAGCAAGCGAAAGGAGCGATTGCGGCTGTAAACCGACTCGTCGATTAGTGTTGTCTCGCGCCTGTCATCTGACAACTTCGGGGCTTGGACAAACAGGTGTCGTGCTGAGCTGCATTCCCGATTCGCCCTGGCATAGTTCACGAGCTCATTCACGAACAAGCCAGCCTGAGCATTGTTTGCAAAGGCCAGGGGGACCGTTGTGTCCTTCTCCTTGTCCAGCAAGCGATGCACTACTACGTGCTTTGAGAACTTCTCTGGAGTTGATGACTCTAGGACAATGACACTGTTCGCATCCAGCGCCAAGCCCAAGACATCTTGACAGAAAGCTGACAGTGTTTCATCGAAGGCGGTCATTGCAAGGTTCGGCTGAAGCTCAGGATTGGTCAGTCTGGAAAACTCCAAATCAAAGTATAGCCAACAGGGCTGATCTTGAAGAATCACCTGGGTCGGGATGCGCACGACTTGTTTTTTACTTGTTGCTTGCTGTCCAAACTGTCGCGTCCACCTCGTAGAGATGGTTTTTCTCGGTGGGATCCGTATCTTTGGGATACCAGGACGGAGCGTGCGCGTGCACAAAGCCGGCAAGGGTGTCGACTTTGAACCTGGTGGAAGCCGTGCCAAGCAACAAGATGCAGGGTTTGACGGAGGTCCCAAGAGATGCCTCCTCTTGCCACCTGCTCCAACTTCTTCTGCGAAGAGCCCCACCTTGAAACTAAGGCACAACCCAAGCCTTCGTCTTCGGCTCAGCACTTCTACTGGTAGCACCTGCCACCTCTCGTACTCGCCGTCTTCGACGAGCCTTAGCGATGCACGACCACATGAGAAAGGATCGAAATTCCGCGAGCTGCCAGGTGGCTTTTGCAAGACCTGCACAGCTTCATCTTGTCGGTAGAAGTCCTTTGGGGCGGGGTGCAATCCTTGGCTGCATTCAACGGCCAGGGGCCTTACCTTTTTGCCCGTGCGAAAGTCGTTCACGCTTTCACGTATTCGATACATTCTTGTTTTACCCTCAAACGCAGAAATGCAGGCTCAACCCAAGCAAAACCTCGCAGCCCCCACGAGACCACCATACTTATGGCCACAAGCACAACCGAGCCATGACACCGCTCCTTCCAGGGAGCTTTGTCAGACCCCTCAAGTTTCTGACGACCAACTCATCCAGCTTGCTGTCTGCGACCCCAACCATGGCATGTGCATTTGGAGAGGAGAGAAGCGAAAGCCCTCCTCAGTTGGCATCTAACCTTCCTCAAGCGCGTAAGGCGTAAGTGAAGTGGCTGCTTTGATGCTACTGCTTGGTTTGCTAAGGCCTGCATGATCAGGCTTGGGAATGCGCTGCAGGTTGGCACGCTTCCATAGCACAGCGGATCCATGCGGCTCGCTTGCCTGCACTGCCCCCTCCAAGCCCGGTGCAAATCCTTAATCTTTACAGAGGCCATGAAGGACAGCACGCCTGCAAAGTACAAGTGCGGCTTTGCTGTGCTCATCCACACTGGTGCATCGGAGACCGGAAGCCCGTGCCTGAGTTGGGAACGATGGTCTGGCGGTTGGGTTTGTGACCTTTCGGCGACGACGATTATAAGGGGTCGGAAGGACATGTGTTCAACAGGCGTGAGGTCCTTACAAGCTGAACCCAGCTTGGCCACAAGCTTGCTTTCCGCTATTCCAGCAGAGACCTGACAGCCCAAGGCGCTCTGACTGCACCCACATGCTGGGAGCCAACAGCTCTTAGGCGCACACCGTGAAGCCTTCGAAGGAGAGTGCGGACAAAAAGGCACGACATACAAAGGTCCTAGGCACCCTTCCTCGGCGAATGCTACTTGTATTGCCCTGTCCGGTGCATGCGCATGCCTGTCTCTTTGAAGATGTCGTCCCGAAGCCGTTGGACCAAATAGGCGGCCACCAGGAGATGAGAATCCTGAGAGTTTAGAGCGACAGAGCGCCGTCACAGAAGCCTGACGGCTAAGAGCTCGGCAGCTGCGATGTCCAGGCAGATTCCACTGGGGCAGGCCTCGAGCAAGTCAGCAAGCTGCGTAGACTCTAGACGCTTCACAGGGCTCTGGCTGCTGTGGCTGCAATGGCTGCCAAATCCGGGCAAGACCCAACCAGCAGCTGGGCAGCCTGCAGACAAAAGTGAAGCTTTTGGGTCCTAGGTCTCGCAGGGGTTTCGGCTCGGAGGCCTCTTCTGTGAAGTCTAAATAGGCCTCATCGATCGATGCCATCTCGCACCTCTGCCACAGGAATTCGGAAAGCAACCGTTCTGCTAATGATACTAGGTTCTCATTGTCAGAGTTGCGCCCACCTTGCTGAAGACCTTTGGACTACCGCCAGGACTTCGTCTGAGGCCTGGCCTTGGTGAACGGTGAGTGGGATGACAGTCTGTGACAGCTTTCTTCCGGAGCTCCTAGGCATCGGGCGGTATCTGCGAAGACAGGCCTTTTGTGTTCGTCGATCTGGCCTAAATGCGCAATCAAGCTGCAAGGACCTGCGATCTTGTTGCTCCGCTACTGAGTTGAGTGCGCGCTGCCTGTCGCAGCAGCCACATCCTGTGGCAAGACTGTGGCCCCCAAGCCGGATCCCTTCTCCGTCTGTGAAAGCACTGACCTCCACGCCCTCGCTGATTGTCTCGACGTGTACGAGGACGATACCGGGGCAAATGGTTGAAGCTTCCGCTGCTCGCATACCACGCCTCAGGACTTTCGGTTTGAATCTGTGTCTGTGTCTCAACAACCCAGAAAGATGCTGGGTGTCTGGCTTGACACCATGTGCACGAGCAGCATAGTTGACTGCTATGAGGCCGTCCCACCTTCAGCTCGAGGGCATAGTTTGCCATATGTGGCATTGCATCCAGCTCTGCACTTGCAGCGCTGGAATCTTGTTTGCGTATTTGGATTGAGCCCTGGCTTTGTTGCCGGCACTGTGTTTCTCACACAAGATTCAACTTTTCCGCTGTTGGGTTTGCACATGAGACCGCAAACTGAGCTCTCTGCTGCTGCACCGCGGCCGGGGGGGAATCCCTGCAGCGAGTAGCCATGTTCTGTTGATCGCTGGGTTCTCCCATGCATCCTCGCGGTCCAAGGCGGTCTGCCCAGGTTCAGGCGTCGCTGCTCCACCTGGCGCAGCTTCGGGCGTTCAAGTCCTACGCGTGTGGAGCGTGAACCTGGTACGGTGTGGGGCATTCATACGTTCAAACGATTTCCGCGGCGTCCGGCCCGAGCCTGCACATAGAAGCAGTCGAGATCCAAGTGTGCGATGGCCCGCTGAGGCCTGCTCTAATCCAAGAAGCAATACCCTCCGATATGAGTGCGAGTCCTTCGCTGGCCTCGGCGGCATCCACCTCGATAGAGATCCCAGCCATCCACGGCCACGTCAGGAATCGAGGGGTCAGGGCAAAACGGAGCAGTTGGCTGAAGAAGGGGTTTAGAAGAGGTTTAGGGCCCCTGCGACTGCAAGCTCTTTCCATCGTGCGTTTAGGGCTTTTGGACTCAGCTTCGGCCAACGAATCCACTAGGCTTGGCAATGGGTACCGGACAGGGGCGTCGTTGATCGATATGATTGTGTCATGTTGGTGATTTGCACTTCATTGCAGTCTGCAGTAACTGCAGTAATCGAGCCAAATGCAATCTCTGTCATCTCAAACTCGCTCAACTTCCGCAGTATGAACTTGAACTGAACGTGATGCAGACCTTGCACTGTGGCATCAGTAGTCTGGCATCGCTGTCTGCAGCGGCATGCACTCCACCCTGGCATCCTCCAAATAAACGAGTTCCGCCGAGACTATCACGTCGTAGTGCACCTCCCGGGCTCGATCCAGTGTCCAAGAATGCACATACCTTCCCTTGCTCAATGCGCAAGCGACAGAGAATCCTGGCTTTTGTGCATGTTGCACGTTCACACATAGAGTCTCATGGACTCTCTCAGCTGAGTCGGTACTGTGCCTGGTGCATTTGTGCTGCCAGGCATGCTCAATGAGCATTCTCTGTATATAGACTCAGCACGTGAATCGTTAACATCCAGGTCGAACTTCTGTCATCAAAGAGGAAGCTCGACATGGAGCAGCTTGCCCAGGATGTACAGCACGAAGGTACTCACCTGATCCACGCCGCCGTTTATATTATTATTATATATATATATATTATATATTATATATTATATATTATATATTATATATCCGCAAGTTTTGAAGGACAGGCTGGGAATGCCGAGTCGCCAAGGAGACGATGCTGTATCCCAAGTCGGCTGTTGGGATCAAGCAGGCAACGGTCACCTCTGCAAAGCCGATTCCAGAGAGGGGTGGGGGCGGTGATGTAAAGGCAGACATGCTGCGGGCTCGGTTTCTGCAAGCAGGGCCAGTCTTTCCATGGCCAGGCTCATCACCTTGCAATGACTCACACATCCCCGACGCAAAGGAATGCTGCTTGCAGGCCCAGGCTTGATCTCCCACTTCGGAATCACCGGTCACCTGCAGTCGTGTGTTCACGGCGGGCCGGAGCAGCGGCTCTACTGTTCTCAAGCTCTGCAGCCGTGTTGCGGAGTTGCGCCACCGAGCCCTGCAGAAGTTGCTGGACAGCTTGCCGAAGTTTTCGTTGGCCTTGGAAGAGCTCGAAGCTCCGGAAAGTCTAAACTGAGCGTGTGCAGCCCAAGTCGCAAGGCGGCCTTGCCACGACGAGAGCGGAACAGTCGCACAAGAGTTTGTAGTCTGCATCGCAATTCAGAAGCTTGGTCGGGCACCGTAAAGAATCATTTGGTGTATCGCAACCTCCAGATATTTTTGCAGCAGACCCAGATCCCTGAAAGGCTCGGCTGGGAAACGTACATCCATATCTACTTTTGACAAGTCACTGTAACACCACTGATGATCACAAGGCACACACATGTCCCAGCATTTAGCTGGGAATGTGCACCTAAAATCACTCCGATGAGGACAAGGCCAAGACCTGAAGCACGATCTTCAACATGTCCGAACTGGACAGCGATGTTGAAAAGTGAGAACAGCCTAATGTCGCCCAAGGAGCCCATAGTCGAAGCTGTAGCCAACGCTCCAATGTAGGAGTCTGCTCGGTGTTGGTATCGACTTCCCATTCGAAGAACGGTCTGCGGCAATATGCAGCAGTCAAGCTCCAGCTCTCGCAACGTGCTGTATTCTTCCACCGTGTCCGAATTAAATTAAAGCTTCGATCTGCTAGTTGCAATCAGCACTGGAAAATTGCTAGGCTGACACATAGCAAGAGGGCCTCGAAGCAGGCAAGCACTGCCCGCACATTCGCTTCTGCTGTCGGGCCTGAGAGCTGCACCTGCGCGGGACTTTTCATCTTCTGTAAATTTCGGGCTTCGCATTCACGTTTCCGGCGACACTGTGCAATGCCATGCTTACCCTTGTCAGCCGACGTATCGGTCGTGGAGCGGTGCAGAACCGCTTGATTATTGGCCGGTTTGTCCATGTCTGATGCAATCAATCCCGGGGCACCGGAACACGCCTGAGGCAAGTTGGGGTACAGGCAGGGCAGTCGCCGAGCCAGCTGTTGCACCGATTCCATCACCATCTGCATGCGCCGATAGTGAATAATTGCGATGACCTCGGTCCAAGAGTGAAAGGATGCCTTCGCCACAGGACATTGCAGGGCCATGCAGGGCCCCGACGGCAAAAACAGACGACACGGCGCCGTGCGAGTAGGCAATAAAAGCGGCTTGGGCCACGCAGTAGGAAACCTCGGCTAAATTGCAACGTCACTGTTTCTGGTCCGAACTCACTTGGAACTTGGAGCAGTTGAGGGGCGACGTAGCTATGCCTTCCAAAGCCCGCTGCAAGAATATCTCCGGCATCGACTTCGTCACCTAGCTCGCCTCAGCTGGCTGTGCCATGGCTGGCAAGCCACTCCACAAGCCTGTGTCATTGGATGTTGCCATGAATTCTGCCGAGGGGCTGGTGCACTTCACACAGCGCCAAGCAATCGGGAAAATGGCCGGAAAGAGCGCAAACAAACCTGGCGACTCTGAGAGCTGATCGCGTTGCTTCCGTGCTCGCTCGCCGAGTTTTCCGGCCTACAGAGATGAATCGCTGGCCCTCGACGACTTCGTCGGCAGTACGACGGTACAAGGTGTACAGGAGCTGATGAGCGCCTTGTCATCAGGGTAACTCATATCATGTCAAGCTCGGCTTCAAGCAAAGGCCATTGGTCTGATCTCCGCCCAAGGACTGATCCGTCGAAGGCCCCGCGAGAAGCTCACGCTAGTCTCTCGCGAGAGGACCTTAGGACCACATGGAACAGCCTCAAACCCAAGCAGGCCCTGCTCTTGTGGTTCCTTGCCGAGAGGCACGTGTGAGATTGGGGCACAAGGATGAGCTTTTCAGCTCTGAGTTGGTGCAGTGGCCTTCTAGCATCCTTGGAGACAGCCGGAGACTGGCACACACGTCCAGAACAGGAATGTAAGGTTGCGAATCATGTGGATCAATCCTTTACCCCAGTTGGCCCATCTTCTCGTAGGGTACCGTGGCTTCAACGTACTTCACAAGTGGATACCAACCTGGCCTGCTTAACTTGTTCCGTGCCGCTGTTTCTCCCGGCTGAGGGGATGCACTGAGACCCAACAAAAATTGCAGGCCCTCCAGCCCTGCAGGGACTACCCTCCCTAAGTGCCATGAAGCGTCTGCTCCCACACCTGCCAACATCTCCAACTACTCACATCCTGCCTCTGCTGTCGCTGGAGTGGATTGGCAGCTCGCAAACCATAGGGCTGAACCATCGGCGAGGCATGAAAGCAAATGCTCACCGCAATTGTAGCTGTGCTGCACATCGTGCTCGAAGAAAATCTCATGAAGATCAGCACCTGCACGAGGTCTGCATTTGCAGTTAACATCGGTCCAAAGGAGCATCAGCGCAAATTGCAACGGGCAGTGGAAGGGAGTCATGAAATGTGCTACTGGCTGCTGCTGGTAGTCTGCACTCTGGTAATCCGAGCTGGCGCCTTGATACTTGCAAGCCTTGTCAATCTCTGCCACTAGGATTTCATCTGGCACTGGCAGCCACGTGGAGATGAGCTGCATCTGCTTGCTCCATCTCAGCAGGTGCTGTTCTGCCGTGCTGGACTGAAGCGCTTCATTCGCAGAGAGATGCTGAGCAACAGTGCTCTTTCTGACAATGTCTCCTACAGTCGATGCTGATCTGGAGACCATCCTGATCCAAGTCGCTTGGCCGCAATTTGTCTGGGAGCACTCAGCCAGAGTGCGTACTCCTCCGGGGAAAGACCGCTGTATTTCCTTAGTTGTGACTGTGAGCGTTCGAGCAACCAACAGAGTCAGGGATTTGACTGTGGCTGTAAGAGTCAGCATCACCTTGTCGATATCTTGCCGTTACACTGCAGCAGAGGCACAACGCGATCATGGATCGATGTGTGAACATGGCCAAGCACGGCACAATCACGATCTCAGCAACGCCAATGTCATTCCTTTCGAACTCGTCGTAGAACAGTACCTCGGATTGGACAAAAAGATAGACGTCTGCCGGCAGCTGGGACTGGAAGCTCACCTGCTGCCTGGTCGCAAATAGCATTGCGTTGGCGTAGACGATTAATGGGACTGTTGTCCAGTAGAGCGTCACGAGATTCGGACAAGGCCACGTCTGGGTGTTTGAAAGTAATGCCCTCTTGCCCATCAACAAATAGAACGGAATGCCTCGACAACGAGCGGGGTGGAGGCGTGCAAGCAACTGCCGACAGGATACCGCCAGCACTGGCAAAGTGACTTCAACATATTATGCTTTACATGACCAGGGCTTTGAGTCTTCGGTCGAGAGGCAGAATGGTGACAGCAAGTGAAGCAGCAACTGCTCTCGGAACACGGGAATGTTGAAGCATTCCGCAGTTGTCTCCTTCATTAGAACTTCTGGAAGGCCATCTTTGTCTTCGTCTGCTCGGAAGGTCGACTCATCACTCATGTCACCTCGGCTTAACCCCCGGCATCAAGCTCGCCCCAGCACGCCGTGAGCAACCTGCTTGGAAATCTTGTAGCATAAGACAACAGAGATGGAACAGTCGAACTGCCGGATACGCTTTCACTCTGCAGGCGTGTTGCTGGAGTGATCACAATCGTGATCGCAGAATGGTGTGTACCTTTGAAGTCACCCGCGCAAAGCGCTCTCTCTCTCTCTCTCACACACGC